ATTATCATAGTTAATATTGATATTTGTCAAAGTGGTAATCTAAATGGTTTGGTTTTGCAAATCGCTTTACAGTACAGTTTGCCATTCACCCATTCACACACATTCATACAGTGCATCTATTAGCAGCACCTGTTGTGTGGCAATTCGGGGTTCAGCATCTTGCCCATCGGCATGCAGATGGGGAAGACTGAGGATCAAACTGCCGACCTTCTGGTTGGAGGATGACCGCTCTATCACAGCGGTCCTAATCAGCCACAGCCACCTATTAGTGGACAAACAGTTTCAGTACCGGCAGATATTTTCACTTGTTATTCTTGGAAAAAACATAGGCTCTGATCTATCCAAGCATTAGTAAACTTCAACAGTGAGCCAGTAGGTAGAATAACCATGGCTTCTACTATATCTTACAATTTTTCTCAGCAGCATCAGAACAAAATAGCACTATATTTTAAAGTATGAATATGTGTCTCCTGATTTTTTACAAGATTGAAAATTCAGTTCACACATTTTGTCATTTATCAGACAGGATAGACAAAAAATTACTGAAAGATCTGTCACATCTGGTGTGTTGCTAAGTTTCTGCCACTATGCGTTGATTTCCAGGACACCAGTGGCAGTAGAGTGAAGGATGAGCCTTTAACTTCATCTCCAGTGCAGATCTCCACTGCTGCTCCAGATTCAGCACATGGTTAGTTTCTTCTAATTCCTCATATATGCATTCATCCTGGATTACAAAGGAAACATTTCTTATGATGGTGTACAGCATGTTTCTTTCTACGTTATCTAAATTCTTTTCCCCTCCAGTACATCCTCATCCTCACACAGCTCCACCGTCTACCTTACTTCCTGTTATGACCGCTGTTGCCCCGCAGCTTGGGATGCCAGGCAGCAACCATGCCTTCCAGGTGAGTTCTCACCACATTTCTTACTAGCATCAGTTTTGACATAAAACAAAAATATCAAACCTGGTAATATCAGTGCACCATGTTGTTTCGTAGCCTTACTCCTACAGTCAGACCTCTATGGCTCCGTCGCAGCTGCAGCCTTTTGGTCAGGTCTACCCTGCACAGAGTGTCCCATATACAGGTAAGAGCATTCATTTCAATTACAAGGAAGCCTTTGTGTTCAAACCAAGAGTGTTGGGTCTGTGACACAAATATTTGTATAGAGCTACTAAAGTAGTTAATATATAAAGATGGATAATGCATCTCTCCCCGTTGGATGAAAATAAAGCAAAAATATTCCAGATACAAACATGGAAGGGGCAAGCTTTATCAGCTTTACTGCAGGCAGCCACCAGAGGGCGATCAATATGATTTGACTTCAGCTTTGGGGAACATCTTCAAAAACAGTCTATTGTTTCAGCCACATTACAGTCAGGAATATGTTGTTTACTCCAGGCTCCAGTGATGTGACTTCCTTCTTGATGACTGAGGCGCGACAACACAACACAGAAATCCGGCTATCTGTTGGAAAAGTGGCAGATAAAGTAGATCAACTGGCCTCAAAGGTGAAAAAACAAAATGCACATGTACAGGAATATGTTGAAGATGAACTTTTAACAGGAGGCACATATACATGGTTCTTGTCTCATTTAACTTTAACAGATAGATGACCTTCAAAGGCAGGGGAGTGTCCCCATGGGTGTGTCTAGTATGTCGATGGAAACCTCCATGATCATGCACAACATCCAAAGAATTGTGCAGGTACACACCTGCAAAATACTGCATCATGTGACTTTCCTACTTTAGTGTTTTCATCAGCTCTTTTATAAAACTAACATTGATTGTTACATCTTGGGCCTTTTATTCAAATCAATCTGAAAACTCTTATTTTGTCTTTAGGAGAATGAATGTTTAAAAAAGGAAGTCTTTGACAAAAGCTCTCGCATTGAAGAGCAAAATCGAAAGATTGGGGAGCTCATTAACCAGAACCAGAGGTGAGTCCGAAAATGACATATGGTCACATTTGTTGTTGACCAGAACATCATTGTTTCACTTCATCATGAATAGAGATGTGAATTATCTTTCTCTCATGTTTGGTTAAAATAATGATCGAATTCAAAAATGCCTTCTTACACACACATTTTCTCATACATTGAACTGAATTCAACTGAAATCAGTGGATTAAAACTAGAAGGGAACTCAACAGTCTCCTATGAAACCACTCTTAAATTCACTAGTACCATTTATTTAGATTTGCAGCAAATCGTGCACTCAGAAATAGATATAAAATGTGTATAAATATCAGCCCCCTGTAATCCTGCTAACTAACAGTGAGACATACTTAGCTCAAAACATAGCCTGCTTGGCAAAGGTAACAATACCAATTTTAGCTTTGTGTACTTAATGTGATTTGTGCCGGCTAATATCTGATCTTGTATTGTAAAAGATTTGATTTGTCAGTATCTCCTTGACAGTGTCATACAGTGATTTGCTCCAACAGACCTCACTGACTCACGTAGCTCAAAGAAGCTTTGAGGAAAGGTTTCAGTCTCAGTGTGTGTGAGGTTAATATAATGTGGAAACACTGTGCTTGTCCAGATTCATGGAGCAGAGTAACCTTCTGCTGGAGCAGAGAAACGACTCCCTTAAGTCGTCCAGTGAAAACAACCAGGCCAGACTACTTCAGGCTGAGCAAGACAAGGTGAGTGTTTGGCTCCAGTGCTTAAAAAAGGGAAGAACTAATATTTCTGATGGCTTGTGTGTTATAGTGTAAGAATGATGATACTGTCTTTAGGTGCACGGTTTATCAGAGGATGAGACTTTGTGATGGACCCACATCATCACATACCTATAGTGTTGTGCTTGTGCCTTCAAACTGTAAATTTGTTTACCACACACATCAGAGGATTCATCCTGTCACTGAGTTTTTGCTGTATGTTTGAGGTAGTTTCCAAACAGTGACATGGAGTATGATCCTGCAGGAAGTAACCATTAGAAGACGGTAGACTGTGCCCATGATGATGAACAGGGTCGCTAACAGTCCTTAAATAGAGCCATGTTTGATTGGTAAGGGATTAAGAGAACAAAGTGTGTCAAGAAAACATCCCCCACATCATCACACTACATTTCTGTTATTGGCCGACAGGAGTGGGACCTGACGTGGTCTCCGCTCTTGTAGATCATCCACCTCAAGGTTCGATACGTTCATTCCTACATGTTTTTCGGCTCACCACAGTTGTAAAGAGCGATTACCTGAGTTACTGTAGCCTTCTGTTAACTCCAACAGGTCTGACCATTCTCCTCTGACCTCGCTCATCAACACTGAGCTGCTGCTCACCGGATGTTTTTGTTATTGGTTCCATTCTGAGTAAAAACTCTAGAGACTGTAGAAACAGTTTCTGAAACATTCAAACCAACAATCATTTCACATTTAAAGTCACATGCTGTCGTCACTCTGATGTTCAATGTGAACATTAACTGAAGCTCCTGACCTGTATCTGTAGAATGTTTAACACTGATCTGCTGACACATGATTGGCTAATTGGCTGGATAATTACATGAATAAGCAGGTGTACAGGTATTCCTGATAAAGTTCTGAGCTGAAAGCAAAGAAACAGATGTAAAGTGAATGTAGAGGGTATAAGCTGTTGTATGGTAGGAGGGGTGTTTAATCAGGAAAAGGTATAATCCTGGCCTGTGGTGGAGGCTGCACCATGTCCTTCCCTAAGTATCCCCCAGACCCTCAGTGTAGGGCCTAATCATTGCCTGTGTGCGTTTATGGGATGTAGCCTCTGCCTGGGGTCTTAAAAGGCTGTGTAGGGCAACGCAGGCTACTAATCCATATACTGGGCATGATGGGAAGTGGTTAGAGATGTGAAAACAAAGCAAAGACAAACTAAGATATATTTCCGTGTGTCCACAACCAGTTTCTTATCTCTTTTTTCCACATTTTACCACTGACAGGAATTATCAAATTTGGTGATAATGATCAAAAAAGACTGAAGAATTACAGCCTAATTTGTTGATTTGCAAAACTAAATCAATGATAAATCATAGATAAATTCGGATGACTACCTCAAGAGCACCTCCTCCTTTATATTCTATTCTACACATTCAAATGTTCACTTCAGAAATACACTGATATGTGATATTTTTCACTCTGAGGGGAGATTGGTTTGGTATTTTCTCAAGTATATGATGTCTGTTTCCAACAAGAATCTGATACTAATACTAAGTACTCTCATCTTTGCCAATTGCTCTCTGCCTGGTTATTTGTACCGCTAAGGAAAATCTAGCATTTACTACTCTCTCTTCTCAGCCTGCACTGCCTCAGGACCTGGGCTCTGGCCAGGTGAGCCTGTTTTCCTCTGTGTACTGCTACCAGACCAGGGTCACACAGTATTTGCAAAGTGAGATACAAATTGGAATGATGTAACTGCTCCGAAGGTTTACTCAGGAAGAAAAACACGCTCTTGGTGACCAAAATAGTTTTGCAATGATTTATTGGCATGGAGCAAAACATAGTCCTTGAGTAATGGCCAGTCCACAAGTCACATGACACTTCCTCTGACTGCCAGTAGGTTTACATTCTCTGCAATCATTTCACATTCACTTTGCAATTCTGGGACCAAACCACTGATCTGATAATCTTGTCCACACAGATTACCACCCAGATCCAAACATGCTTCTCGAAATACCAAGAATCATGTGCAACTACTATTTGACCCAGGTCTAACTGCTTTCACCGGAATAATGTCTTCACAATTCATTAGCATTTTAACAAAATCTCCTCTTCTTTTTCGTGTCCGTCTCCTTTCCCATCTGCCATTACTCTGTTTTTCTTCCACAGGGTCATGCTGATCAAATCACTGTCACCAGTAACCACTCATCCAGGCTCTCAATGTTTTGCTACACTGTCTGTTTGTGCTCTGGGCTTTACTTTAGCCACTGGTATATCTCCTCCTCTCACCCCCCGCGTCCTCCTGTGTCCCCATCAGGTTCGTCTGACGGAAGATCTGGCTTCGGCCACGGCCCGGCTGTCTCAGCTGCAGCTGGAAGCTTCATCTCACCAGCAGAAGGCTGTGGAGCTGCAGAGTAAACTGAGCTCAGTGCTGCTGGACAGTGAGAGCCAGTGTCAGCGCATCACTGCCCTTGAAACACAACTGGAAGGTTTGTCTGTTATTATTATTGTTATTATCATTAATATAAAAAAATGATGGTTAAATTAAAAAAAGTATTTTGCCACGTCTCCAATTCAGTCTCTGCACTCATTTTCCAGGTTATTAGGTACATCAAACTAAAACTAATGCAACTGTTCTTTTATGAAGATTTGAGTATATGAATTGTGTTGGACAGCAAATCCTGATATAAAATGTCTTAGCAAGTTAAAACAATCCAGTTCCTTTTTGAAACGGCTCAGTAGTTTCCTAAAACGGCTGCTCAGTTTTTGGCAAACGTTACTCACACAGGAGGAGGGGGAGGTGTGTAACAATTTGTTGGGACTATTTTTCAGCAGCAGATTAATCCAAATGTTGTGCTTTATTTGTGTTTGTGGGATTGATTGGGATCGAAACCATGATTCACACTCACTGTTTGATCATATCAGCATTTTTCTGTTGATGCCTTTAAGGAAAATTAGTTCAGGTATGTGGCTCATCATGAGATTTCTTGGTCATGATCTAAGTAACAGATTATGATTGATACCTGTTTTAACAAGCATAAGAAGACTTTAATAGTAGATACAATTCTTGCTTATGTCCAATCATCAACAATCAAATCAAGGTAGCTCTTTGCACAAAGAACAGCATCGTGGGTAAAAGGCCAAGGATTTTGTGAAGAAATAATGTTATGCAACAACGCTATGTTTATGTGATTCAGAGCTGAAGGAGACAGCAGAGAGTGCACAGGCCCAGTACCGCTCAGAGAGGCAAAGACGCAAAGAGACAGAGCTGAGGGTCAACAACATGGAGGAGGAGCTGCAGGACCTCAGGACAGATAAAGAAGGTCTAGAACGAGTAAGTTCACTTTTTGTTTATGTCCCTCTTTAATTCAAAGGACCCTATTCTGAGGTTATTTATATTACAGCAATTCATCATGGAATATCCCTTTATACCCTCTTCATTGTGGTACATTTAACTGTAAGCGCAAAATTGCTGTTTCTTCAATCAATCAAAACGTATTGATCCTTAAACACAAAGTGAAAACATGCTTTTAGAAAAACTTCCAATTTTATTGAAAATAATAAAAAAGTCAGATCTGAAAAGTTATACTGACCCTAAACTGTGCTCATTTGTTATTCATTTTTCTGAGCCATGTTTAGCATTTGACTGGAGTCTACTTGTGACAAACTGAATTAATTGGATATACTATAGATGTGTTGTCAATTGGATTTGGTCAGTGGAACGTGAGGGCCGATCAATGGCATCGATGCCTTCATCATTCAGGATCTGTCTACACACTGAGGGCAAAAAATGGGCATTGACCTGAACCAGGAGGAGCACAGGGCCCACTGCACCAGCGTAAGGTCTGACAATCGCTCTGAGGATTTCATCCCAGTACCTAACAACGGTCAGGGTACCGTTGTCTGTGCGGCCCTCCAAGGATATGCCTCCCCTAACTATCACTAACCAACCGCCAGACCAATCATGCTGGATGATGTTACTCTTTTATGCCTGCCCTGTGTTTTTCAGTGTGATGAGAACAGGGCAGAAGTGTGCTGTCAGTACAGGTCTCACTAGAGGACGTCAGGCCCTCATGCCACCCTCATGGAGTCTGTTTCTGACAGTTTGGTCAGGAACATGCACACCAGTAAACATGCTTGAGTTCATTTTGTAGGGCTCTGGCAGTGCTCCTCCTGTTCCTCCTTACAGATACTGGTCCTGCTACTGGGTTAATGCCCTGTCCAGCTCACCTCGTGTAACGGCCGGTCTCCTGGTCTCTCCTCCATGCTCTTGAGATTGTGCTAGAGGACACCACAAACCTTCTTGCTACCAGCTCCTCCATGGATGTACCTTCCTGGAGGAGCTGGACTACCTGTGCAACCTGATTGGGCTGCAAATACCGCCTCATAATACCTGTAGTGACAATGACACTAGCAGAACACAAAACTAGAGAGGAGTCAGTCAGGCAGAATAAGTAGAGAGAGTAATTATCTGTGGTCACCGCATTTAAAACCATTTCCTCTTGGAGGTTGAAGCAAACAACTTGGTCAACACGGGGTGTCTTCAGGACAAGTTTCTGACTGTCTATGAGTGTCCCAGACAAAGCCCAGACTTAAACCACATAGAACATCTGTGCAGAGGTGTAAAGTAGTTGTCATGTATAATCTAAATGTCTGTTTATGTCCTTTTAAGACACTTTTGGAAAGGAAGAAGAAGTGGCAGGCCGAGCGTCAGCGCCAGGACGAGGAGATGGAGGAGCTCCGCAAGAGCAGCCAGCAGGAGCTAGACAACCTCCGAGCTCAACTTCGCAAGGCCAGGATCAGCACTGACAATGCTGCATCTGAGCAGGTAACATTCAATGATAGGATCCGTAGGAACATGAATAGTAATGTCTACTATTAATTATCACAGAATAGCTGGACCGTGATATTATCGTTATCGATGGCCATGTACCATATCCTGAGTTACCCTGGGATTCCCACGCCTACATCAGACCACTAATGGCACGCTTCCTGTATGTTTTGCAGTTGTCTCAGCTGCAGGCAGAGCTTGAGGAGGACTGGAAGGGGAAGTATGAGCAGATGCTGGCATCTGTTAAAGAGCAGCACAGGAGAGATCTGGCTGAACTTACAGAGCAGAGAGATGCTCTGCAGGACAAGTTAACCCAGCTACAGGAAAAGGTACGCAAGCGAGTTGTGATGAAACTTGTTTTGTCGTAACCATTGTCTACATTTACAATATGAAACTATTAGTTGCATTGTTCAGTTCTACCTCACCTCTTGCCCAATGTCAACTGGAATGGGTTCCAGGTTTTTCCTGTAATGGACAATTTCAATTAAATATGTTTTTGCAGCTTTTAGTTAAAGTTGGTTAAATTGTGTGATTAATGTGAATACTTACTTATTACCTTGTTTCTGACCTGTCTTGCTCTCAATAGTTTACACTTCTGAAGCAGTCAAGGGATTCGGAAGAGCAGATTTTGCTCCAGCACCACGGGCAGTCTGAAGAGCTGCAGGCCCTTCAGGAAAAAGTAAGAATGGATGACTCATTAGCGGATCCCTCTAAATAAATTAAATGATTATCATTGCCAGGCAATGATGTCACTGGACTTTTGCAAGACATTGTGTTTTTACATACGCAGTTGTTATTCATTGTGTAGGAAAACATCCACGTCTAGACACACACAAAAACACCCACTGTATGTTCTGTCTTTAAGTACACAGCCTTGGAGCAGCAAGCAGGAGCTGTAAGGGCGAAGCTTGAAAATAAAATGGCTGAACTGGAGAAGAGACTGGCAGAGCAGGAGAGTTCAGGAGACACTGCAACAGAGGTGAGGAGTCACACGTGATGCACACACACACACTAATGCACAAAAACAAACAGTGAATTGCAGAACTGTAATATTTTCCCCATTTACCATCATTCTGTCACTGTTTCACTAAGTTGCAGAATGAGCAAAGTTTTTTTTTAATTTACCTGTCAGTGGGGCACAGATCACAGTTTGTGTGTTGTCACTGATTTTTGTGGTCAGCCCCTAACATGAATTTATGAAAAGGCCAATCAAGAGCCAGTGTTTGGTTTGTTTCTTCTGGGTTACTGTAGAAACGTGGTGGTACAACATGGTGTAAACATAAAGAGCTCATTCTAAGTTTATGAAAACACGATGACTCTTAATTTCAGGTGGTTATGCAGTCATGAAAACATCAGTATGGATGTTATATTTCATGTCTGTCTATAGAGCCTCCTAAATCCCACACAGTGGGACTCCATCACGATGCACAGCTTCAGAGGAATCCTATTGTTGTCTGGGAAGTACGGTCATCATTATTCTGTTTGTCTCACACACATGATCACAACACAACCTTTGTCTACACATGACAACATGTCATGCAGCATGTTTGAAATTGTAAGTGACTAGAATATTATGGAACAAAAGACTAATTCTTTGCACAAAGACTGCTAAGTGCCCTTCTTGTGAACACAGTGCACGTTGAGTCACAAAGATAACACACCAGTGCAGTAGAGGAAAATACCACAGTGGATTGCAGGAACATTTCGGTTTACCTCAGTGTGCCAGTGTTTTGCACTGTGCAACAGTGTGAAAGACGCATAAGCTACGATCATTCACATTATTACTTGACAACTTCTGCCTACTACAGCTCAGAGCTGAGGTGCAACTGTACTGAAGTGTGATAATTGACTTATATCGATTTTTGTTCCGTTAATGTGCCATTTCTGAGCAATAGAGGAAAGTAAGGCCATCTGTGTGTGTCTGCAGGTGAAGCGTGTGATGAACGGAGTGTTTCATTCTCTGCGAGGGGAGTTTGACCTCAGTGAATCTTACTCTGGCCAGGCTGTGCTGGGGGTGATTGTCACCACCATCAAGGTAGGTTAAGTTTTTTAAACAAACAAATACCTAAACTTTCTGGAAAGTTGACAGAAAATCTGAATAAGGACACATTTACTAAGTGGATGGAAATAAGTTTCTCTTTCCAATACACATATAACTAATGGTGTAAAGTGAGTCAGTCATACAATGTGTACCAGCTAATTTTAGCTTCTTTGACCCTCACTGATGGACATTTGATTTAGTACAGTATTTGTGCTAAGCATCTTTAGATTAAATCTTCAATCATATGGTCTTCTCCTTAGAATGTAACTCTACAGCTGCTCAGTGGCACACAAGGATCTTCTGTCCTTCCTAAGAAGGAAGAGGACACAGAGGAACAGGAGGAAGAAGCAAGTGATGATGTGAAACAAAGAGAGGAGAAACCTCATCAGAATGTACATGTGAATGGAGAGAGACAAGTCAAAGAGGACGAAAAGGAAGAAGAAGAAGAACATGAGGCTGAGTTGGATTCTCATCATGTCAGTGAGACTCAGGTGAATCAGGACATATCAGCGCAGGAGGAGACAGAGACATTAACTGAGTCAAAGACACAAAGCCAGTCTGAGACATTACAGGCCACTGATCTCCATCCAGTTTCATCCAGTGAAGGGTTACGCCAGGATCCAGCAGCAGCAGCAGAGAGTGAAGAACAGCAGGAGCAGGGAGAACACCCTGTGCCTGAAAGCCCAACAGAGTCCAGAGACTCCAACAAGTCTGCACCAGCAGATGATGGATCTGATCAGAGTGCAGCTCCAGACGATGGACAGGAAAGAGCTGCAGAGAGCAGTGAGGTGGGCAAGGAGAACATGGACAAAAGAGAACACGTAGGAGAAATCAATGCTGATCCTGAGAAAGCTTTTGGACCCCCAGCCAACCCACCTCCACCACCAGACACAGTTCAGAACAGCTCACGGTGAGTCGTGACATGAACACTTAATAATACTGCAGATTGATTTTAGCTGTCAGTAGAACTGGATGAATATTCACTCAGAACAAAGTCTGCTCTCCAGTGGTTCCAGGAAAATATCTGGTGGGATGAAGGTGATGCAGCATCCTGTATAATATCTGAATATATATAATCTATGATTAAACAACAATAGCAACACAGAAACTCAGAAATAGAGCAGATACCAGAGAACAGCAGCAGCAATCTGAAGTCAGGTCTGAACTCTTTCTCATATTTTTTTTTCTAATTATATCAAAGCAGAATTCTGAATGATCTCATTAGTCCTGTATCTGTCATTAGCATCATTGGTGTCTCCCAAACATACACCAAGGGCAATGCTCCATTAACTTTATAAACTTTCCGACTGAACTTTTTGAACACAAACAGGAACATTGCCTCTTCCAGTTTCATGTTATATCAGTATGAGTCTCCAGATTATTCATTATTGTCCTGATTAGTCAGATTTTAGATTTTCTTCTGTACAGGGGTTTGAAGGAGCAGAGTTAGAATACTCCTCATATATAGATGAGAGGCTCTCAGTAATCAGCTCTGATTAAAAGAGTCAATCACACACTGACTCCAAACCACGTTTGACACTTCACAACATTCTGCACGAGTGTGTGTTCAACTCAGAACGTTTGGAAATGGTTTTCGTCCCACTGCAGAAACCAAACAACTGCCAGATCTGAAAACTGAAAAACTTTGCTGAGATGAGCTGAAACCAGCAGCAGCAGCTGATGAAGCTGAAAACATTGACTGTGATTAGGAAGCCAGTAAATAACATGTATGCTGTTTGGCCACAGTCAGATTTCAGCTTGAGGGCCAATAACTTTTATTATCTACATTACAACTGTAACGTATGTGTGTGCCCCCCCCACATCTGTTCTCATGCACATGTGTATTCCTGTAAACTAACGGTCTGTCTCTCAACTCCGGTTTCTTTCTTCATCCCCATGTTCCTCTTCTCATTCTGCTTCACCGTGTATTTGCGACCCCCGTCCTCCGCTCTTTCTCTGCTATTCTCTCAGCCTCACTGAGGGAATTAGTGAGGAAAATGGAACGGAGCCATTTTTCCAGATCACTGCTCCTGTCAAACCCCCCGCAGCAGCCAGCGAGGAGGAAGAGGAGGATGAGATGGTAAGGGAGGATCTGTAGAGTTCAATCAAAGCTCTCAGATTTGATTCTTCAGTTGCCTCACCCCCCAGCTCCCCCCTTGTCCTTTGTCTTCCATGTGAACTCAGTCAGGGATATTTTTTATCGCCTCAAAAAAAACATCTATCCACAACATTTTGGACGGCGTTCATTTCTCTATTTATCTTGCTTATGTCCAGAGTTTGAAGGGCCGTCCACCACCCACCCCTCTGTTTGGTGAAGAGGAGGATGAAGACGACGATCTGGACTGGCTCAACTGAGATGGAACCCGAATAATTACATTTTGCATCTTCATTTCTGACTCTACGAACCAGGCGCAGGGTGGTTGACCTGCTGTTTGTGCCTGGAGGAGCAGTGAGGACGTGGGGTGGGCGTCTGCACCTGCTGTCATTTCTGTCACAGCATCCTGGCGAACACAACCACGGTCTGACGCTGCAGCTAAGGTTGGAATAAGAAGTCTTTAAAACACGATTAATTACGTCGTATCTGTTGGTGATGCAATTTAATACCACACCTTTAGATGGCACTGTAGCAGATGAGTTTGTTGAATCAGCAGTAATCCTCTTATCAGACTGTATCATGGTTTTAATCATTAGCTTGCTGCTTTAAGAGTAGAACTTTTACACGGTTTTGCTAACCTGAAATTGATTTCCAGAAAATAAATAGCATTTATCTTTTCGTCTTCTGTTTTGTTGTGCGTGTTCAATCAGTTCTCTCTGTGATAATTCATCGTTTTTGTTTAGTTTTCAGTCCGAGATATTTCAGGGATTTTATTTTTTTATCAAGCCTTGTGCTTGTGAATTAAATTATCCTTATGTACTGCACATGGAGTATGATGTCAGTCAAACAAAGTGCCATTCATTGCTCAACTAATTCAATGGTTTGTGAAATATGGTGTACTTTTTGTGTTTGGGGTTTCTGCCAAAGACCAGCAGGGGGTGCTCGAGACCCAGGAAAAGTTACATTGTTGCTAAGCAACAGTAGCCCCAACCATGCGGAGTACCATGGTGCTTAGAGTTGAGGGCCTGAAGGGATATTTGATTCATTTGAGACAAAGGTGAGCTCCAAGTATTTGTAGTGAAAAGTACATTAAGAAGATATTTTAATTGAAACTAAGACTGGCTGCAGTATGGACAACACTGAAGCCTCAGTCCAGAGCGTGTGTACTAAGTGCTGAAAGTGTAGAGATCAGGTAAAGAAGGGATTTAACCTTCAGTCACCAAGTAGACGGTGTTGAAAATACAAACCAAACAGACAGGATTCTGACGTTGATCAATGTAACGTCAGTAAAAAACTTTAGATGTAGCCATTGAAATAATAAATTAAATGTAAATATTAAACTCAGAGCTAAAAAACACGTTCAATCATATGTATATAGTGTTTCTTACTTGGTGGCTTTGAACATTTTGATTCAAGAAAATTTAGCCAAATGACATCTGCAGTGCTCTGTTAAGATGATGATACTAAAAACAGGAAATTCAATATACCTGTTCTTTGACTTCTGACGAGGCGAAGGAGAAGATGTGATGTGACCTCTGTTTATTTTCAGCCGACCGTGTGAGGATAAGTGTGTCACAAGAATAAAACAGGTGCTCCGTTGTTTCTATGTTTGCTCTGTGGTAGTGAGAAGCTGCAGTTAATGTTGCCACGAGTGTGGGACAGGATAATCTGTGCTTTAACATGACCTGACGTTCTTCCGTCTTGTTCAGACATACATGCTGTTTCTGTTTGTGTTCTTTTAAGTTGATGGCATCGCAAATTGTTTGATTGAAAACTTACAAAAACAAGGCACAAAAATAGAAAATTAAAAAGATTAAAACCAAATACAAAAAGAGAGAAATACAATAAATTAATAATCTCAAATAATTTACTTAAAGTGATTGATTACAGAATTTTAACTCAATCCTCATCGATCAAATTGGGTTTTGATTATGCAGGTATAGTGAATAAACTCTTAATGTCTGCTGATGACAGAAGGACCAAATGAACTGTGTCTGTGCTCTGCATGTCGCTCCAGAGCGATTCATTCACAGTGGATGAATAAATGTTCCAAACCTTCAAATCAACGTTAGATCTCAATCTCAAGATTCTTAGAAACAAGATGTCAGTTTATTGTCAAAAGACACTTTTCAGTGTTAAAAATAAATGTGTCATCTGCAAAATTACTTCTCACGTTTAACCTCTTAGGAAGATCTTTTTGATGACAGGTAAACATCGGTCTGGAACCATTATAGAAAATAACTGAGGCACCACATCCTCTTATGTGCTCCCCTCTCAAATCCTGTGCCAAGTGCCATTTGCTACAGCTAAAACTATTGATTCAATTCCACAGCATTGCAATTACATTTAGTAAAACTCTACAAATCCAAAGCAACGCAGGTTTCCCACTGGTTTAAAAAAAAATGTTAGAAATAAAATAACTCTGTGTCCTTGTATCATATAATCAAGTAAAACATTTTTGTTATTGTGAATTGACCTTCCTTCCAATAGTCCTGCTTGAGTCTCATTAATAAAGGTTAAAATACCTTTCTTCATCCTCATCAGTAAGAGTACATCCTAACCAGTTAAACAATGTGAATTGTCTGTAATGAGCTCCTACTCTTTTATCTTTATCAGATTTAGGGATCAGGGTTAAACCTTGTTTCATGCTTCACATCGGCTCTTCCTTGCATTCGTACTGAACAACTTATTTTGAAAGTGGCCCTAAGCCTGTCTGCCCATAGAGATTAGTTTGAAGCCATCGTTAAGAAAACTGATTTCTGTTCCTTAATTCTAAGATCACAAAACCAGAAGCACAACTGATGAAGTTATCCTGTGTACAGAGAGCTAAAACATAAAGAACAACCCAGCTGGCAAAATGAATCAGTCGTGTAAGTTCCTTACATCCGTTTTCAATATAAAGCAATTGTCATTTGCCAAAATTACATTCAGTTGATTCATTCTTTTATTATTCTATTATTTCTCTGATCTTTATTTTTTATAGTTACATGATATTTCCAGAACCCAGCATTTATAAGCCACTCACCAGCAAATGGTCAATTATATCTATATTTGAGCACACGTTTGTCATGAAACATTTTGTGTGAGCTTTAAATAAGTGGTGTCTTGACGACCAATCTTCTGGTTCCTGGACGGTTTTTGTTTCTGTGGAACAGTTGGTGTCGCTTTTGTTTCACCGAGGCTCATGTGAACATTGTTGACAGCAGGTAAACTGATCTGATGCGTGCTAAACCCAATAAATACAGATTAAATATATGAGGAAACTCAATTTTAAAACATATCTAAATACATGTAGAAACTCAGCTCATTATTCTGGTTCTTTTATTGTGGATTTATTCATTTCATTTCTGAAGTTTTCTAATTTATTTCTTGAAATAACATTTTATAAAACAGAACGTTCATTATGCAAAATGATCTTAATGAATACAAAAATACAAGAAATAAAAAAATAAGTGCTGCTGATGAGGACATTATTACACATGTTGAGTCTAGATGCTCAGGTCAGGCCCAGGCTGCTCTCACGTGCTGACTGGAATGAGCAGGTTCTCATATTGGCCCTGGCAGCCTGTCAGCATCATGAAGAGGTGTGTGTTGTTGATGTGTCTGTTGCCGGGGTCGGCAGCATGATGTCACAGTCGGGTCGCAGTCCTCCCTGGTTGCCTCAGCTTCGCTCGGCTCTTCACACCTTTGCCAGATGACGATGTCGTTACTATGTGTGTGATGTGCCATTTCATAATGATGTCATTTATACCGAATAATGATGAATGATTTGTTGATCTATAGAAGCTGTAGATCATGAAGTAATGCAGTACTACACCATGTGATTTATGACTTTATAGTGATGTCATGATAACGTCTTTTCTACAATACGGTCATAAATTATATTTGATCTATACAACCATGCAAGAATTCTTCATTTTCTTACTTCTTTGTGACTTCTTCATGACGTCATACGATGTCTTATGATAGGGTATAATTTCCTGATCAATATAAACTTTAAATGAGCTCTATTATTTCTTGGAACAAGTGTTGTACCATATTTTTGTGAACCTTTTTGCATCTTTGACCTATCAGCTCTAAACGTGAGTCATCTGGAGAAACCCTTGTCGAGTTATGAGACTGTAATCACTCGTGTGAAAATGGAGAGGTTTTGAGACTTTGCACTACTCTAAAGAAGTGAAGCTTGGTGAATCCGAGACCTTTAAGTCAGGTGATCCTCAGGTGTTACAAAGCATTTCGATTGCATGATCACATCTCAATATACAAACTAGTGCCGGGTCCCGGGTCAAGGACAGCAATGCCTCGGACAAATCCCTTCCTGCGAGGGAAGTCTTGCTGGCCTGCCTTCTGCCCGGCAGCTTGAGGTAACAGCCAGAATGTACACAGCCCAAACCTTGAAGAGGTTTCAAAGAGCCCTTTGAATAAATGACCTCAGTATCAGCACAAACACTGCCGCCTAATTTTAGATGCCAACAACACTGAATGTTTGTCACCGGGTATCGGTGCATGCTGCTCGCTGCTGAGCAAACAAATGATCTCCCTCGTTTCGCCGAATGAAAAAAGGTTGAGTGTTGCCAGGCCCGATCCTTACAGATACAATACCCTCTGTGCTGTCGTTTCTTGATCAAAAGTGGCTCCATTTCCATTTGCTGTATATTGCTTTTCCAGTCAGACACAGTGAGCTTTATGTGCTTGTTTCCCAGTTCTCGCAGGGGAGCCCTGGAACGTTTTCTGTTTACGGCTTTACTGCGATAACATTTTCCCCTCTGAATCACAGGCAGCTCTGTGTAGTGGTGCCACCTTCGCCTGCCCACTAACAGGACACTCTCTGTCAGCGGGCTACGCCGCCAGCTCCCACACTAAAGGCCCTTTGAAATCCCAGTTTGTTTATTCTAGTGTATGAAATGTGCCGTGTGCAGTTTAAGACACCTCAGATTCACCGGAGGGAGAAGCGTGGACGCCTCTGGCCTCTGTCACTCTCGGCTAAATCCTGCAAATTGTACTCAGTGTAATTGAATGTAAACTTGATAGTACAGTATCTCCTTACCATGTGCTTTACTTTCTCTTGCTTGTTTATTTACTTTAAGTGGGAGATGTTGCGGAGGTTGACCTCCCACCTTTTTATTCGCAAAAATACATTGCCATTAATGCCCTGCTGTCAGAGTCCAAGTGATCTGCATCCCACTTGTGGCCCACATCTATATATACAATATAGAGATGAAACACTGACATTTACTGTGCAAATGTGTGACATTAATTACTGTGCAAATGTTATGACTGTGAATAAACCGCTTTTTTCCACAATTTAAACATTTGTTTGGCTTGGCTGCAGACAAGCTGGTACAGGCTGGTAGATCCAATCCCCAGGCATAATAAACATCCATTCATTATCTGCACCACCAAGTGTTTTAGTGTCTTCTAGCTCATTTTTGGGAATTTCACCCCCTAACTTCAGTCGCGCATGGTTTCCAGCATTAAACTGCTAAAGAACCAGATGTTTTTGCTGCCCTTAGATGTAGTTAGCTTCACTTTATAACTACATCACTCTCCCTGCGCTCATGACAGACCCTCACACTCAGTTAGGATTACAGTGTGGGAGTGGGGGCGGGGGGGGGCATCCAGCTGCAGGACAGAGGTGTGCAGGTGGCTCAGGAGAGCAGAGCCACATGAATTGACGA